GGCTCAAAGTTTTGGCCGAGCTGAAGCCAGAGCAGAGGGGCAGAAGGTCTCTCGCGGTCTCTCTTCTGGAAAAGTCCTTGGCCTTGCAGAGCGGGACGCAGTCAGTCGAAAGATTTTTGGGAGAGGCTGCTCTGGCCGAGAACCAGTACCGGGCTCAACATTTAACGGATTGGAACCTGCAAGCTGCGATCAAGCTCAATGTCCAAAGCTTGAGAGGGTCTCGCAAGCCGAAGGTCTTCAACCCGGACGAGCTGTTTGAGGGACCTCTTGACACTACTCGGTTTCGAACAACGGTCTCTTTGAAGGCCTCAAAATACGGCGTTGCAGTCCAGAACTCCTACAGAGACTTCTTCGGAGAGAAAAAGCTTCCCCACCGGTCTCTGGATCCTTCGAAGGCACAACGCGAGCAGACAGACAAGCCTGGTCTGGGCAACATCAAGAAGGAGTCTGCGAAGCGAAGCCTGGCGAAGGAGATGCGGTTGCACGGCAAGTCCATTTCTGCAGCGGTGGAGAGCGCTAGACAAGAACAACCCGCCTCGTCCAGGTCTTCCAGCTCGTGGGAGCCAATGGTCCAGGAGATGAGGGAGGTGACTGCAGCACGTGAAAAGCGGTCTCTGGGAAGTGACGAAGCCGTGGGGTCTCAGGTGAAGCGGCAAAAGGTGCAGGATGATGCGCCTGATACCTTCGAAGATGCCCTTCGTCACAGCCGCTTTCTGGCGGAGAAGAAAAAGGCTGTAGTGAGTGAGACTCCCGCTGGCAACCTGGTGCCTTACGTAGACTCCAAAGGAGGGGTCTACCAGAGGAAGCCGCCTGTGCCAGCTCCTACGGCCATCAAAGCGCCGGTCTTGCCCGAGCTGATCAAGGTCTCGGTGGCTTCTGCTTCTGGCAATGCTGTGCCAATCTGGCGGCGCTATTGCATCGCAACTTCGGTCTCGGAGGCTGATGTGGTCTTGCTTCCAAATGCTGATCAGGACCTTTACTCACCGACGGCCTTGGAAGCCCGCTTGTGGGGTAAACGAGTCGTGGATCGGCACTGGCTGCGAAGCAAGATGAGCGATGGTCTTTGTGTCTGCTTTGAAGCGGCTTTGGAGAGGCATTTGTACCTTCATCTGCATGAGACGTTTCAGCATGACCATCCGCAGCACACCGAGGCATTGCTGAGCTCTGTCAAGGCCTTTAAGCGGAAGGGTCGCAAAAAATGCCTGGTGGTAGAGACCGGTAACATGCCAACTGAGCCCAAACACCCACGGCTGACCTATCAGGTGGTCTCCCTGAGGGAGGAAGCCCGCATAGCTGCCGATTCTAAAGATGGCAAGGTCTCGCAGGTCTTGAATCTGGAGCAATGCATCAACCTGTTAACGGTTGTGCAGAAGTTGTAGCAGTCACGTTCACTGGTCAGGGTTTGGATAATTGGGGTCTCACACTTAGGTCTCAATATCTACAAAATATCTACAAGCATGAATGGGTCCGAAGATCAGTGACAGTGCGTGCTGCAGACATGTCGTTTTTACCGGTCTCCTTGCGCCAAAAGATGCACTGCATTTGCCATCAGCTTTTCTCGGAGTCATCCATCATGCCGGCTAAGCAGTGTTGCACCTTTCTGACCTGTCAGGCTGGCGGTGCTGGATCCGAGATGGCTTGTCAGAAGATGGAAAAAGAGAGCTCTGCAGAGTGAAGCTTCACATGTGGTAACCCCAGGGTCAAAAACTATAGTTTTTGCTAGTGGCCCAAGAGCCGGCAAGT